ATAAGTGGTTTTGATTGGGAGACCAGGGATATATTCGAAGAGCTGAAGGAAAGTATGACTAGCCTAGCAGAGTGAAAATGTGCTTGGGCCTGGAAACGACCGTGACTGGGGGTAACACGAAGAGGCACTTGTGGCAAGGGACCATTGCATGTCTTCCAACAACATTCAGAGAAAGCGGTGTAGGTGTAGAGCCAAGTGGAGGACTGGGTTTAAGATAGTGATAAGTGTTCAAAAGGTGAGACTTTTTTTAAAAATCTAAATATTTACATATTTAACCTATGTATTGGATATGTGCATGCCAAGCAAATGTATGGAGATCTGAGGACAATTTATAGGAGTCGATTCTATTCTTCCACCATGTTGATCCTGGGGGTGAAACTCAGGTTAGTAGACCTGGCAGCTAGTAAGTGCCTTAACTTGCTGAGCTATCTCTCCATCATCTTCCGGCCAGTTCCCCCATCAGACTTCTTGAGCTAAAAAGTCTTAGCTACATACATACTTCCTGGGCATGTAGCTCGGTTGGTAGAAAGCATGCCTCGCACTCAGGAAGCCCGAGATTCTATCCCAGCTCCACATAAAACTGGATGTGCTGGCGCATGCCTGTACTCGGCACATAAGAGGTGATGGAGGACAGCTGGTCAGAAATGTAAGGCCATCCTTGGCTGCATAGTGAGTCTGGGGCCTGCTTAGGCTACAGGAGACCTTGTCTCAGAAACAAAAGGAAACAAGGCAGAGAACAGGGGCTAAAGCAGCCATGTGAATGTCTGCTGTGTATGCCTTGTGTAGTCTGAATTTTCCAACCCATGGTTTACCCATCAACACGATGTTCAAACAGCCTTTAGACTCATTTGTGTGTGTGTGTGTGTGTGTGTGTGTGTGTGTGTGTGTGTTGTTTGTTTTGGCTTAGTTTCTCCCCTTATTTCCTGTGGTCCGCCTGCCTGCCTTATCTGGCTTTTATGGCTACCCACATTCTGACTCTAGCTACTAATCCCAAAGCAGTTCCTAGGCTAACATTTCGAAATTCCTACTCTAGAAGAAGATTGCAGATGCTGCAAACCCAATCACCACTCCAAAGGCCAACTCTGTTCAGTCATTATCTGCTGTGTCCGCGTCTTTCCACCTTCTCAAGACTACAGCCCCATGCGTCATGGTCTCTGGAGAAGACCGGTTTTCTTTGGCTGTTGGCGCAAGTGGAATAGACGGGGAGCTTTGGAGGACCAGAACTCTCCTGGAAGTTTTATATTTTCACTTTTAAGCATTCAAGTCTTTCACTGACCTGGGATCAATTTTGATGTAATCTGAAATAAGGATCTTTTTCTCTCCAAATATTTAACTACTTGCCCTCATACAGTTTATCAAATTATTTGAATGCTAATTTTTACCACCACCACCTATCAAATAGCTTTCATTTCTACCTTATTCTTTAAATGCCATTGTTGACCGCCTAGCTTAGGTCACTTCCTGCCAACTTTTATCTAGATCACTGCTGCCGCCTTCTGACTCCTGGTGTTCAGTCTCTTACACACAATTCAGATGGAATGACCTTTGTGTAACATAAAACTGATCATGTTGCTTCTGTATGCAACCTTTCAGTACTCATCCAATTTCCTATATTTGATTGGCTGAATGACGCTAGCTTATTTATCTAGACTAGTGCAGTCTTGCCTGTGTGCAAAACTACCTCCCCCCCATAGCCTATCCTAAGGACTTTTTTTTTTAGCACGCTGAACATTCCACAGTATGCCTTACTTGGATATCTGCTCCACTTCACCTCTGACCTACCTCCTTGTGTTTTGGATGACCAAGTCATCTGTCCATCAGGTTTCACCAGGAGAGCATGTCCTTTAGAGAATATTTTGTGATCAACTTCCTTGAGCCCAGAGAGTAGGACTTCTCCCATGCATACTATACTGCCCATACTTCCCCACCACAGCCCTAATCACGGAGAGTTGCGATAGCTTGCTTCTCCGTCTTCTAGATTGTAAACCACATGAGAACCAAGCACGGTGGCTGCCGGGGTTAGTTTTATCTGTAGGTGACCCAACCTAGCATCACCCAGGAGTGGAGCCTCATTTGATGAGTCACCTCCATTAGACTGACCCTCGAGCATGCCTGTAGGGGACTGTCTTGATTGTTAGCTGAAGTGGGAGAGCAAAGCCAACTGTGGGTGGTCTCTAGGCAAGGAGTTCTGGGTTGTGTAAGGAACTAGCGGAGTGTGAGCATGCGTGAGTCACCAACTAGCATTCCTCCCCAGTGTCTGCTGTATTTCCTGCTGTGAGTGAGCCGCCTGCCTGGTTAGAGTTGCTTTCATGGGAAAGTGAGCAAGCCTGCCTTCAGGTTCCTGCTTGAGTTTCCTTCCGACTTCCTGCAGAATGTAACCTAGAAGTAAGTATAAGCTAAATAAACTCTTTTCCTCCTTTATGTGGCTTTTGGTGACAGAGTGTTTTATCATAGCACCTAGAAGAGCAGTCCACATCTGTAATCCTAACACTTGGGAGAGAAGAGCAGTCCACATCTGTAATCCTAACACTTGGGAGATAGACAGAGAGAGATCAATAGTTAAGGCCACCCTTTCCTTTGAGAGTTTGAGCCTACCCTGAACTATAAGAGCCATTGCCTTAAAAATAAATAATTTTGGGGGGGGGTTTGTTTTAAAGGCAGGAAGGATAGTTTAAGCCTAGTGTCTTGAGTTTGGTCCCTAAGACCCACATGGTAGAGGAGGGAACTGACTTTGGCAAGTTGCATACCACGGCACACACATAACCCACCGGCACCTCACCACAACCACACTGCCACAAAATAGAAATGTTATAAAATCAACGACAATGAAAACCCTGTAAAACAAAATTTTATGTTCTCCTCTTTCATCCCTAGGACCTAACACAGAGTAAGTTTGTTTGTTGGTTTATTTATTCTCCAGTGTTGGAAAGTAACCAGGGTTGGTCGCTCAAGTGCTAGGCAAATGCTCTTCCCTCACAGTAAATTTGTGTAAATATTTTCATATTCTTTTTCATTGGCATATATTCTGTGGTTATGTTCTGAATTCACAAAAAACATCAACTACAAGGGCTATAGAAGGTACTATGCAAGGCAGGAAGGACATAGAATGGCAAGATCGCTTGGACTTCTGTGACACCGACAGGCAGTAAACACAGCAGTGGTATAAAAACAGTTGTAGTTTGTGTGAGGGAGAATTGTGTTGATTGTGACGACCTGAGCTCGATCCAGGATCCAGTTCTAAAAGGGGAGAATCAGTTCCCAAAGACGGTCTCATGATTCTGCTTGTATGTTCTGATGTACTCACACTAGGCCCCACAGGCACAGCCACACAACAGAAGTGATACACAGGTGCAAACATAAAGAAAATCCCCCATTCACACTGATGGGTTCAACTCTAACCTACGGCTGCAGGGCTTACTTACCTCAGCACTCCCAGCCTCTCTTAGATTCTTCTTCGACACACGTACCCATTACCCTCAATATTCTAGCAGTTGGTTTTAAGTCCACGCATCTGGCCAATCGTTGGACATCTTTACGCTGTCACATTACCAGATCAGACAAGTCTGGGCTTGTCTGGTCCCCAGAGTTTGCCTTTTCCTTGGGGACAGAAAGCTCATTTTCTGCTCATGCTCTGTGTGTGTGTGTGTGTGTGTGTGTGTGTGTGTGTGTGTGTGTAGGTCAGAGGTTAACAATGGTAATCTTCCTTCCTTAATCGCTTCTCTATCATATTTTATGTGTGTATGTGTATATATATATGTATATTGCATACACATATATATACACATATATACATATAAAGACAGGGTCTTATGTATCTTATGTTCTAAGTGAGGATGACCTTGAACTTATTTATTTATTTAGGTTTTTTTTTTTTTTTTTTGACAAGGCTTCTCTGTGTAACAGCCCTAGCTGTCCTGGAACTAGCTCTGTAGACCAGGCTGGGCTTGAACTCACAGAGATCCCCCTGCCTCTGCCTCCTATGTGCTGGGATTAAAGATTACCTTGAACTCCTGACCACATCTACGACCCCCTCCCGACTGCTGATGTTGCAGATGTGCGCCATCAGTTTACGTGGTCCTGCGGATGAAACCCTAGGGATTCTTCCAACTCAGCCCATCCTTAGCCACCTTATATTCTGAGATAGGTTCTCTCACTGAACCTGGAGCTCATTGTTCGGCTAAAGGGACTGGTCAGTGAGCCCTGGGCATCCTCCTGTCTCTTTCTCCCCAGCACTGGGATTTCAGGGTCACGCACTCATATCTTTGTTTGTTTGTGTGCTGTGTGTGGGTACTGGTGACCCAGACCTTCCACGTTCATTGCAAGCTCTTACCTGGCCAAGCCATCTCCTCAGTGCTTCGTTCTGTTGATGTTCGAAGTCATTTTTCAAGATATTTTCTATTTGCTTGCATTGGAGAGGACTACAGCAAACAGGTTCATCTTTTGCTATCAACTAATATGAAGCCAGGAAAAAAAAAAAGAGTATTCCATCGAGCCTTATAAGTAACTGGCCATTTTTCAAACACTTGTTAGTCAGCCATTATATATTTTTTGTATATATTTTTGTAAAATATTTGAATTCTTTGTTTTTTTTTCTAGGGAACTTTTAGTGCTTTTAATTTTTTTCCCTTTCCTTTTTCTTTTCTTCCTTGCGTATGTTCTCACCACCTAGTTTAAACTGGCCTTCACTTGCAGTCTTCTGGCCTCTGCCTCCTGAGGGCTCAGATGTATACCACTATGAATGGTTCCAGTACTTTAGCAAAAATAAGTAAGTAAGTAAGTCAAGGGGCTGGAAATGCGTCTCCGCAGTTAGGGGCATTGCCTGCTCTCCCTGATGCCCAAGGTTCAATTCCCAGAGCCCATATGGCAGTTCACACTTCTCTATAACTCCAGTTCCAGGGGATCCACTGATCTCTTCTGGCCTATGTGGGCATCAAGCATGCACATCGTCCACAGATATACATGCAGGCAAAACACCTATGCACCTGAAATAAGAAAAAAATTATATCAATATTCCTTTAATAATAAAGTCAATTTTACTGAGTTCTTTGTAAATTTAAAAGAATTGTTTGTTGTAAATATTTTCTAAGTTAACTAAAAATATTTTCTTCTTTTTTTTTTTCTTTCTTGATATACCAAAGCCTAAACCCAGAACTTAAAATTTAAAATGTTAAGCAATGTTGTATGACTGGGCTATACCTAAAGCTCTAATTGTATTTTTTTTTAATTTTTAAAATTAAATTTTATATGGTTAAATATGTTGATATGTTTCTTTATAGTTTTATATGACTAGGCTTTCTGCAGGTGGTCACCCTGCAGATCCCACTTCCTTATCCACGGGCTGGACAGTCTCTTTTACTTTGTTTTTGCTGAACAGTTTAAAAAAGTTCTACTTTTAACTCCATCCATCTGGAACTTATTTTGCTTTACTTTTAGCCAATGTGCAAAAATTTCTAATACATTAGAAATATCATTATTATGCCTTCCAAAATCGCCACAACTTTTTATTTCCCTTTTGAGTCTATCTTATTTTGATTTTGCTTATGTAGAAATAGTAAAATTTGGGTAGGTTAGTCTATTAATCATTAGTGATTTCTCCTTGCTTTTCAGCTTTAGAAAGGCCTCACTGTTTAAATATTTAATATACACTTATATTTTCATTTTTTTCCTCTTTCTCCTCTCCCTCCTCTTTGCCTCCCCTTAGGGTTTGCATCAAGGTGGCTTCCATTATACAGAACTAATAAGCTTGTCGAAAATTGCTTCAGCCTCTTGGGGGCTTGTAGCGCAAGAAAACCATGGGATCGGGATTGGGATGGGTTTCTTTACACTACAACTCTCTTTCTCTCCTTCATTTAAAAAAAAAAAAAAGCCAAAGCAACAACAAAAACAGTTCAATGTCTAGTTTCTCAATACATATTCACAAACTTGACAACTCATAAACTGTTAAAGTGGGAGCCTGTCTTTAGATATTTAGTATATAAATCTACGGAGAGCACGAAAAACAAATAACCAAAACTAGCCCCGTTCTGAGGAGATACTGCTTGCCTCTCCTTACACCTTGGGGTTCTGTTCTATGTCACTTCCTTTGAAGTCAGTGGGGCTCTGTGCAGGATGGCTGCGCAAACAGCACACCAGCCTCCATACATGAAGGTGTGAACTGCCATTACGATAAACCATTCACAGTGTGGTCGAGGGAACATTGGTCTCATACACTCGGCGGTTGCCCTGCAGATCCCACTGTCTGTGAGAGCTTTGTTCGACTGCAGCAAACAAGAACGTTTTGAATCTTGACATACAAGGGCTCATTCAGCAGAGCATCCCGTTATGAGAGGAGGCGCAGTGCTGGGCAGACGCTGCAGGTCTGAGCCAGCACACTGAGGGCCTTTCTCTCGCATCCTCTCCATCTGTAACGAGTCTGTTTTCAAGTCCCCAAAGTGACTTTTCTATAGATTGGAGGGATGTATAAATATTTTATGTGTTTATGCTCACACAGAATGCAGGGTAAACTGCAATCACAGAAAAGTGGCCAGGCCTTCCAATATGGAAAGAGGACTCTGCAAACTTTACTTGTGAAAAGGGTACTTAAATGAAAAGCAGAGTGTGTCACAGAAACAATGGGAGAAGCATCTGTATGGACAGTGTCCTGGAAACATAGGATGGCATACAGTTGCTTTCAGCCTCAGGGTACCGTTTTGTTCATCCTTCTACATAGTCCTCCATCACCTCTCCCAATACCTACATCAGTTCATTAGAAACCAAAATCAAATGATGATGTTGGAGTCTTAATCCTAGGAACAGTGGCATGAAGGAGCGGTCCAAAGGAGGTTGATCAGGGACCCCCCACACCTATCCCATCCCCTCACTTTAGAGTGCTGTCTCCTTTCTGACTCCAGCACACCATTCTGCTCTGTCTCCAGGTTTTTGTTTTGGCTGTAGCCCACATTCAACTTGAAGAGTCTTCTCTTGCTAGCCTGTTTTCAGGGCACTACAGTAGCCTGTGGGAATTTCTCCTTTTGGATACTATTGGAGTAGAGGGGACATTTTCAACTTAACATTTTAAATTCTTTTTTGTTTGTTTGTTTGTTTTTTCGAGACAGGGTTTCTCTGTGGTTTTGCAGCCTATCCTGGAACTTGCTCTTGTAGACCAGGGTGGTCTCGAACTTACAGAGATCCACCTGCCTCTGCCTCCCAAGTGTTGGGATTAAAGGCGTGCGCCACCACAGCCCGGCTAACATTTTAAATTCTTGATTTTCTTTTCTCCCCAGAAATCCTCTGTCCATGGTTAGCTTATAGATAACATTCACATCTTTGAAAGTGGATGAGATCACTAACGGAGGAAAACAGATGAAGACGACAAAGGATGAAGTTCTGGGTGTTTCAAATGTAAGAAGTTGAAGGGAAACACGGGAGCGACCTGTCTTGCTTCAGGACTCCATAAGGACGAACATCACGCTGTAAAACTGTAATCACGCAGAAGACCAGGTGTGGTGAAGCGTGCCTGTAATCCCAGATCTTGGGAGTCTGAGGCAGGAGAGTTCCTAGTTGTGCTTTAAACTTCCTCACAGCCATACTTAAAATAAAAAAACGGCGGGATCCTTTGCAAATCCTTTAAAATATTAAGTTCCATCTCAGAGTTGGTCTTAAGAGCATGAATGATGGAAACAGTCTCCCCGAATTAACGGCTCTGTTACTCCTTCTGCATTCATCACGAGATGCGCTGCAGCCTTATGGCTCGTTTCTATGAGACCACAACTCATCTCCCCAACTGGCATTTTTATTCTCTTCTGGTGCTCGGCATTCTTGGTATTCTCTGTAACATCCTGTGCCCCGTGCACAATAAGCACGCAATAAACATTTGCACTGGTTTGGGTCCAGGGATATTTCAAATTAAACACCTTTCAAATCAGGAATAACTTTGGATTTCCACATTTGTATGTACCTTTTTAAGTGCATCGAGCTTGCTGTAGGAGTAATAAGAGTTCAGCCATTAATTTACTATAAGAGAAACATTTTAAATGTGTGTAGTAGGACTTCTTACTTAATTCTCCTTTCTTCCTTCTCCAAAAGTCGTTGGCTTTCTCTTCAGAGAACATGCTCCTGAAACACTCTATTCCCTGATCCCCGCTATTATCCGCCTGTGCTCTATCTTTGTAGGTGAGATGCTCTGCCCCTGTAAAGTACACTTTGTGCACGCGTTTCTGCTCTTGCAGGGAGCAACTCGAGGATTCTGCTCTTGGCACCATTCTTCATCCTTGGCTGCTCTCCACAGTCACCGTTTAGAAAACTCCCTGGGCTTCTGGGTTCCTCGCCCTCATACGCTCTGTGGAGATTAGAAGGGGATTCTATTACACGGCATTGAAAATGTGACGGAAAATGAAATTTGCTTTACCAAGAAAGGAAGCATTTGCACTGCAGCTCGTTCCAACAGGAGTCTTCAACGGGCATCGTTTTCAAGGAGGTAAAACGGCAAATGGGCAAGTTCCTGATTTAGATCACTGCTTGGTAAATATCACATAGTTTAAGACCACACACGCATTAATGGGTGCAGAGGGGCAGCATTCATAGTACAGTGGGCTGACATGGCTGACTCGAGTGTGTGTGTGTGTGTGTGTGTGTGTGTGTGTGTGTGTGTGTGTGCGCGCGCGCGCGCGCGTGCATTTCAAACCTAGGGCTCTGAGTACAGTGGGTAAGCACTCTACTTCTGAGCTACACTCCTCAGTAACAATTGACTCAAGCCGGGGGGTGGTGGTGCACGCCTTTAATCCCAGCACTCGGGAGGCAGAAGCAGGCGGATCTCTGTGAGTTCGGTTCCAGGCCAGCCTGGTCTATAAGAGCTGGTTCCAGGACAGGCTCCAAAGCTGCAGAGAGAAACTCTGTCTCAGAAAAAAAAAAAAAAAATGTACAGTGTTATGAAATTCAATACCAAATTCAAATACAAATTCAAAATACAAATGCAAAATTCACAGAATTATAAAATTCTTAATACAAAGAAGCAATAAGTGTTTAAAATAAGGAATATATCAATTACCTCAATCCTATTGTTAGATATTGTATACACGTACTGTAATATCACACTATATTCCATAAAGATATATAAATAAGTCAATGAAAACTTTAATATATTAAATAGATATCATATTATTTATATTATATTAAATTACAATATATATGTAAACTATATATTTATATATTATATGCTAAATTCTTTTTTTTAAGATTTATTTATTTATTATGTATACGACATTTTCCCTCCATGTATGCCCCCATACCAGAGGAGGGCCAGATCTCATTACAAATGGTTGTGAGCCACCATGTGGTGGCTGGGAATTGAACTCAGGACCTCTGGAAGAGCAGCCAGTGCTCTTAACCACTGAAACATCTCTCCAGCCCTATATGCTAAATTCTTAAAACAATCTTTGGAAGGTTCTGTTCTTCTAGGGTGTTAAGCACGGATGTTGTAAGTACATACATTGCCTGCATGTTGGATTTTGTTTGTAGGGATGTAAGGGATCAGGTGAGGGCCCAGAAAAACGGTATAATGATCACATCTGTGGAGAGGAAGGAGCCAGGGGTTGGGGTCACTACAGGGAAAGAGACACCTTCACATTTTAACCCCCCCATCATACACAACCTAAACATAGTCATTTATTACAAAATCAGCCATTTATAAATGGAAATAAAGTGGTCCACTGTTCCCTGTGCAATCTGAACCTAGCACTCAAGTGCTTAGACTCTGTTTGGTAAATGCTTAAATCATTCTTCAGGTTGCGTGTATTGACTTTACTTTCTCTTCTATTCAAAAGCATGGGCTAGATTACTGTCCATTTTAAGCTTTTTCATGCATCGGGCCTTGTTGCCGTCCTTACTGACATCCACGAAGCTCTTCTAGTATACCTCCGGATGGATTCTATTAGTATTACTTTGTTAATCTCTCACAGAAACACAGCTGGGCACCACCAGTCATCACTTCACAGTTAAAGAAACAGACCATGGGCTAGCGAGCCGGCTCAGCGCGAAAGGTGCTTGCTGCCAAGGCTGAGGAAGCTGAGTTCTGTCCCTGAGGTCCCTGTGGTGGATGGAGGAGCGCTTACTCTCTCAAGTTGTCCTTTGACCTCCCATGTGCACTGCGGCACGAATGCATATCTCCAGCAAACCAATAAATAACCATGGTTTAAAAATAAAAGGATCAGGCCAGAGAAGTTTGTTTTGCACAAACTGGTCTCACTGCTAGGAGGCACCGGGGCTAGGCTGTCTCTCTGGCAGGGCAAGAAGGAGGGGATGGAACTGGTCTGTGGTTTAAGGTTTTGATTGTATTTCATAGTTGGCATATACACTTTTGTCTAATTGGGAGGTGACTAAAGGCATCTGGGGCTGGCTGATGTGTTGGCTGAAAATTACTATTATTATAAGGATGATTATTATAGCATTTACTAATTATGCAGGGCTTTATACTTCAAAGCCCTGTGCTTTATAATCCTTTATTAGCTACGTCTCAAAACATCTCCATGACAGAAAGATGCGTTTAGCATCTGTATTTTCCAGGAGAAAAATCTGAGGCCGAGTCAGAGTGGCAACCATTTTTAAAATGAAGTGAAAAATATTTATAGTGTATGCGTTCTGTGTGTGTGTGTAGCAGGAGGAGGGTCGGCAGAGGACAACCCACACGCCACGTGCGTTCCAGTTATCAACCACAGGTCATCGGGCAAACACCCTTTCCCCCTGAGCCACCACTTTGGTTAATAATAATAATAATAATAAAAATAATAATAATAAAAAGAGAGTAGAGGTGGAAGTGTAACCCTTCTTTTTTGTTTTTCGAGACAGGGTTTCTCTGTAGCTCTGTAGCCTGTCCCGGAACTAGCTCTTCTAGACCAGGCTGGCCTCGAACTCACAGAGATCCGCCTGCCTCTGCCTCCCGAGTGTTGGGATTATAACCCTTCATTCTTTAAACTCATTAAAATAACTTAGTCCTAGGGACAAGATGCCAATTAATTTAACCCTTTTATAGGCCAGTGTAAGTTCTAATACTTTTTCTTAATAGCCAATTGAAAATAAAATGCAAAATATAATAAAAAAAAATCGGTGCTTATTCCCTTGAGGTTATTTTTGAGGCTTTGCTACATTTGTGTCAAAGTGACATTTTGCTCAGATTCACTCTTACTAGCTCCCATTTTTCTACCCCAGCACAACAGGACTGCAGATACTGGTTTCCAGTGCTGATCTTGTTAGCTTGCATCCATTGTCTGTGAGAAAAAAAAAAAAAAAAAAAAAAAAAAAAACACAAAACAAAACCTTTCACTATGGGCAGAAGACTCGGTAGTAACTTTCGGTAAAAACAAGCTTCACACAAGTATCATATGAGACTTCAGAAAACTTCAGATGTCTGGCAGTTTGTACACTTCAGAAGGAAGATGATCAACATGTCAGTACATCGTGGGAAGCAGGGGGAGGGAGATGAGAAGGTTCTTGTGGGTTGGTTACAGATTCCTCTAAAAGGCCTGGAGGAGATAGGCACATTCTTCCATAAATCAGGTCTTCCAGGTGGGAGGCAGTCATGGCTCTGTCACATGGGAAAGGCTCCATAAATACTAGTTTAGTGGTTAGGACCGTGTCTCAGGAGACAGACTGTCTGTTTCTAAGCCCAGCTCTGTCCCTTGCTATCCAACCTTAACCAGCTGTGCAGCTGTTTCTGGGGCTCTTTCTCCATTCAGAACAAAGGGGACAGAAAGATCCAATTTCAATCTCAGAGTTACTTCTAAGTATCTGATATTGTCTTTTCTCTTTCCAAACAGTTGACAACTAGAATCTACAACTCCTTTAAGTTGGTGGTGGTAGGCGATCTGGGCATGTAACTCAGTTGTTCCGGTATTTATCTAACATGCGTGAAGCCCTGGCTTCCATCCTTCCATCCCCAGCACCTCATAAGCTCACGTCATCCTTCGCTACCTAGTAAGTTCAAGGCCAGCCTGAGCTACTCACTTTGTTAAAAACAACAAAACAAAACCCGTTGGTGTAGACTATATAATTTGTTGTCTACTGGGGAACTGCTCTCCAAGAAAATACCTTTAAACTCTTTCAAAATACATTCAAATAAATAGTTACAATAAGATTCTATATTGTTTCTTTAAAATGCCCATGTTCTCTTCTACCTTAGTGGCCCAGACTTAGAGTGGAGATTTTACTTGTGAGGGAGAACAATTCACTAACTTTGATGAAGAAGGCAAGAGGTGTCTGAACCAAAGACAATGGTGCCTTGTGCCAGATGCTTGCCAGAGTATGCTAAGTTTCAAGAGTTGCCAGAAAAAGAGAAATTGGGGACAGGGTCTTGAACCCCTGACCTTTCTGTCTCTACTTCCCAAATTCTGGGCTCATAGGCGTGCATCAGTACTTCCATGCTCTTAAAAAAAACTTCAATGTGGTCCTACTGTTGAATTAGGAGCGGCAGGGCTGAGTCCCCGGCACCCGGACGCCTGCATGGTTAGTTTATGCCTGAAATAATTACACGGAAACTGTATTCTTTTAAACACTGCCTGGCCCGGCTATTTTCAGCCTCTTATTGGTTAGCTCTTACATATTGTTCTAACCCATTTCTAATATTCTGTGTAGCCCATGAGGTGGCTTACCAGGGAGGATCTTAACCTGCATCTGTCTGGCGTGGGAGAATCATGGCGACTCCTGACTAAGCTTCTTTCTCCCAGCATTCTCTTCTGTTTACTCCACCCACCTATGGGTTGGCCTATCAAGGGGCTTACGCAGTTTCTTTATTAATAAGAAATCACTCCCACATCATCCTACAAGAGTCAAATCCAGGGATTTTTCTCTAATAATTTGTTTAAATTTGTTTTATGCGCATTGGGGTGAAGGTGTCAGATCCCCTGGAACTGGATGGAGTTACAGACAGATGTGAGCTGCTATGCGGGTGCTGGGAATTGAACCCAGCTCTCCTGGAAGAACAGGCAGTGCTCCTAAGCCCTGAGCCATCTCTCTACACCCAAAGCCAAGGATTTTTATACACAAGCACTCTACAAACTGAGCCTCAATTTTAAAGCTTTGAGTTGATAAAGTTGGAGAGACGGCTCAGTGGCTAAGAGCCTGTATGGTTCTTTGCTGAGCATCGTGGTGGATATCTGTAATGCCAGCACTTGAGAGGCAGAGAGATAGGAGAGCTTTGTGAGTTTGGGACCAGCCTGGTCTACACAGTTACAGTCCATCCAGGCCAGCTGGGGAGACACAGTGAGATGCTGTCTCAAAAACAAAACAAAAGGCAGGAGAGATTGCTGTGATTCAGAGCACTGGCTGCTCTTCCAGAGGACTGGGTTTGATTCCCAGCACTCACAGGGCAGCTCACAATCACCTGTGACTTCTTCTGGTTTCTGTATGCCTGCACATGGTGCACGGACATACATGGAGGTAAAACACTCATACACAGGAAAACAAACCAAACAAACAAACTCACAAATAATAAAACCCATACTACTCCCACCAGTAACTGACAACAAACAAGACCATGTACTTCACTCTTTTCCCAGGGCCCCCAAGGGTTCCGAGTGCCAGTGGTGGGTGGCTTACAATCAAAAGAAACTGGCTTTCCAGGGCATCTAAAGTCTCTGGCCTCCACGGGAAGCTGCTCTCACAAGTACATGAAGACACACGCCTACACACATAATTAAAAATAAAATAAATCTTGGGGCTGGAGAAATGGCTCAATGGTTACAGCAAAGGATGCTCTTAGATAGAGGGTTTGGGTTTAATTCCCTTTACATATGTGAAGGCTCACACACATTTATAAATCCAGTTTCAGGAGATCCAGTTCCCCTCTTCTGACGTATGCGGGCACAGGCAAGTCATTCATACACAGAAAGTAAGTCTAAAAACAAATTCAAAAGGAAAAAAAAAGGCTGGAGAGATGGCTCAGCGGTTAAGAGCATTGCCTGCTCTTCCAAAGGTCCAGAGTTCAGTTCCCGGCAACCACATGGTGGCTCACAACCATCTGAAATGAGATCTGATGCCCTCTTCTGGCTGCAGATACACAGACAGAATATTGTATACATAATAAATAAATATTAAAAAAAAGAAAAAAAGAAAAAAATCTTTAAAAAAAAGAGCAAACTTAGAGGTTATTTATTTTCGGTACAAAATTTAGTACAATTCAGTACAAAACTTATGGGACAAACACATTCTAGAGCGGATTTTCAACTTCTTCTACCTATACTTCAACACACACAGTGTCCATAGTGCCCCCACCCAAAGCAGTGTTTTTTCAGGCACTGTGCCAAAGAAAGCAGAAAAGTTGAGGTAGACAAAGTGTGATCATCTTCACGTTTAAAAGACTCCAGTCAGGCAGAGTGACACTCGTCTGTAATCCCAATGCTTGGTAGGTAGAGGCAAGAGGAACGAGAACTAGAAGCTAGCCTGAACTGCTTCATAAACGCCTACCTAAAAATAAAACCGAAGCATTTAAAAAGCTCCCAGGTTTGGGAAGATTTGACGGTATCGGGAGGGAGGGGAAGGCAGTGAAAAATGCCACAGAGAAGTGTGGAGCCTTCGACTTAGGCTGGGTGGTAAGGGATCAGGCCTATGTTAAAACAAACAAAGCATAAACAAAGAACCCCATTATCTCCAGGCCTGGCAAAGGGTGAACGCTGAAGTGCCGCTCTTTTGTTTAACAAGCTGCCTTAATGGCTCTGCGGATAGCTGCTAAGCAGCTGCCGGGTCCTCGCCTTGCGTGGCTCCACGAGGCATGGGGTTGGTGTGACTGGCACCCCCTTGAGCAACATTCAAGCTGTATTCTCTGTGAACAGCATCCCCTGCGGTTGTGCAACCTGGCTATTAAGTCAGTAAAGATGGGCCTGGAGTCTGGTCTGAGATAAAGATTAAGAACTAAATCCTTCTACATAATAAAATAACAGGAATTTTAAGTCTTCCTTTGCCGGGGTTGGGGAGGGTGTGTGTGTGTGGGGGGGGGATGGGAGGGATGGAGGTAGGAGGGTGGAGGGGTGCTTGGAATGGAAAGAAAAAAAATGGTTTGGATTAAAAATGCTTTTAGGATGAGGGTGGGCTAGCATTTGGTAACAAAGCGGGATCTGTGAACCTTGTAAGAAATTCCTGTCATTTAAATTACGCGAGTGGCAGGGTGGGGGGGGGGGGATAAAACCCAGCGCCTTGGGCGTGTTAAGCATTCTATCCTTGAGCTAAACCCCAGCACCTTGAGTTTTAGTCAGGGGCTCACTGTATAGTTCAGGCTGCCTTCCCGCTTGTAACTGCCTCCACATGCTTAACACGGATATTACAAGCACTCGTGTGAACCTTTGGGCCCTGGTCTCTGTAGAGTTTTAAAAACACACAGAGAAGATCCTCTGTCCCTGGGTGGTGGTGGTGCATGCATTTAATCCCAGCACTGGAGTGTGGGGGGCGGGGGGGGGGGCAGAGGCAGGCAGATCTCTGAGTTTGAAGTCAGTCTGGTCTATAGAGTGAGTTCAAGGCCAGCCAGGGCAACACAGAGAAATCCTGTCTTGAAAAACCAAACCAAACCACCACCACTCCCCAAAAGAAAAAAGGAGACCCTGGCAAATGAACTTGAACAACTTTTGGGGGGTGGGGCTCTCTTCTGTGTGAGTCAAGGGAAGAACCAGCAAAAAGTTCACAAATGGGATGCCGTGTCTAAACGCACAAGACCGTAACTTGTTACAGCCCTTTCACTGGTTTCCTTCAAAGAACTGAGAGCACTTTTATTTCCTCATTTATTTTGACATTCTCATGTGGGAAGGGCAGATTTACGATAACATTATTTATAGACGGAGAAATTGAAAATAGAGATGAAATCGCTTACTCAATGCCGCATAGCTGGGGTGGTGGAGCCACTGGAATTCGGTTCTCCAGCCTCCAGCCACAAAATGGAAAACGCATGAGCTTTGGAATTAGAGGGAACTTTGAGTAATCCCGTTTCGACCCCAGAACAAGAATGTGGCCTTAAGTCAATTACTTCACCTCTGTCTCAGCTAGTCTCATTTGTAAAAGTAAGGCCATAAAACCTCACAGCACAGTGAAGATTAATTTAGAAAATGCAGGTAAAGCCTCAACACCGAGCAGTCCTCAAGTAAGATTCGTTCCAACGCCATCCCCCAACCCCAACCCAGAAGTATCTGGTTCAATTGAAGTACAAATCAAAAGGAACTCCCATTAAAACTCATTTTACCCCACCTCATCTCCTATGGAGAGAAAAAAAGACGAATAAAAAAATTAAAATATTCCAAAATATCATTTAATTAACAGGCAGACTTTTTTTTTCTTACTGAGAATGTGGCTCAGTGGCATTTGCTTCCAATGGGCTGAGAGACAGACTTCAGCCCTCAACACTCCAAAACAAAAACAATCCCATGCTGTAGATTTACTAGAATTAGAAAAGAATATGTACGTGAACGTTAGGCTTCTAGAATGCGGCAGGTCTTTAACTCAAGAGTTTATCGGAATGCCCTGGCTGGGGGAGGGGGGGAGGACTCTAAACAAGGATTGTCAGGGCTAACCCTAGAGTTACAGCTTTACAAGGTCTGGGGCGGGGCCTGGTTATTTGCATCTTTAACAAGTTCTCAGGTGATGCTGAGCTGCTGCTAGACCGTGGACACACCTTGAGAAGCTCTAGCCCGGGTGAGTGAAAGGCTGGGGATGGGGACCAGCAAGTGGCTCAGCAAGCCCTCCGGGTGATTGCGCTGCACTTCCAAGCTTAAGAACTGCTTGGCAAGGTGGTGAGAAGCTCGTAAGAAAACAAATTCATTTTTAAATCCAGGCTACATCTCTTACCAGTTAGACAAGAGTCTGTGATTGAGGATTCCTTTCATTAGGGCTCCAGGTCTCGGCATGCGCGCGCGCGCGCGTGTGTGTGTGTGTGTGTGTGTGCGCGCGCGCGTGCGCACGCACGCGCGCACACACACTGGTATGGCTGGAGACAACCGAAGTTTTGACTGCGGAGTCTGGTATTTGCTTCACTCTCCTAGGAGGCATGGAAGGCGACTTGAACTTGGGAATTATGGAAGTGTTTACAAACGGTTCTGCAATTACATAAAAGACAAGGCAGTACTTTAAATACAGCACTAGTGATGGGACTGTTTGCATCTTAACTTTGTAATAAGGGGTTTTCTTTTCCTCTGCCTTTCTGTTTCAAGACTCTTCGCAGAAGTATTTGTTTGACACTATAAATTCTAGGAGGCCTTTTCTTTTTTTCTCTTTCTTTCTGAATTCTAAGAGGCTTTTTCTTCTGTCTGTCTCTGTCTCTTTCTCGCTCTCTCCAAAGGTCTTGCTACACAGTCCTTGCTGGCTTTGGAACTCACTGTAAAAGCCTAGGCTGGCCCAAACTCCCAGGACTCTCCCTGCCTCCGCCTTTAAACTGCAGGGACTCCAGACACAAGGTATCTTGTCAGGCAGGCTGGAGCCCTTTTTCTGTTTCTCCTTCCGTGGGATCTAGCTCCAGAGAGAAAACCTGCCTCCAATACCTGACGTTTTACTGATTTTGTGGCAGAGGAAGTTTTTAAAGACCTTCCCTCTTTTCCTAGCCTGGCGTCTGACTCTGTGGGTTCTCCTATCGTCTTTGGTCAGAGCTTCAAAATCCCAGGTCTTCTCTAGTGCCTGTTACTGGTCAGTTCGTGAAAGGGTTACCATGCATTATAGTATTGTTAACTTCTACAGTACAGAGATGAACACACGCACACGCATACAAATTTAAAAAGGGTAACTAACTCGTCAAGGTGAAAAGTAAAATAACAGACTCCAGACGCTGAGGTTCCAGAGCCCCTCATCCCGGCTTTTATTGAATATGAAAAGGATGAACGATACAGGGGAATAGAGTTTAGCTCCTCTCTTTGAATAGTTTGAAAAGTCTTGTTTGGAGCAGACGAGAGTTCTACACATACCACAAATTAAAATAAACCCAAGAGCCAGCATTTGCGGTAAAGTTTGGTACCTGGCCGGTTTCCTTCTCTGTAAGATGTAGAGAATAGCACCGCTTTCCAGGAGTTTGAAGGTGATTAGAATAGTTAACGCAGCCGAAGCGCGTGATGCACTATCTACCACTCAGTAAGCCTTCGATGAATGTCAACTGCGTTTTTAAGCGAGACAGAAGCAAGTGGGGAAACCACCACGGGACAGTTGGCCAGCCGGGTGAATGCACTGGGCTCGGCTGGATTCTCCGAGCCTCCATTGAATTAGGTGGCTGGAGGGGAACAATCCTAAGAGCAGTTAAAATAAGGGGTACCAGCCGTCGCCCGGGGCCCGCGGGGCCACAGGGGTTAGCAAGGAGTCCGGGGGCGGGCGCCGGGTTCAGAGGCCCCGCCCCTCCCGGGAGGCCTGGCAACTCCAGCCCGGGAGCAGTTCCGGTGCCAAAACCCTGCCCTCCCCCGCTCCCCCGGAAGTGCTTGTCTAGGCTTCGGGCAGGAGAGAGGCCTGGTAGACACAGGCGCCGAGGCTCCGTCGGCTCCGAGTCGGGGGTCGGGTCGCGGAGAGAGTTGCGGAGCTCCGCGGCCGCCGCCGCCCCGCGCCCTCGCAGCGCCCCCGCGCCGGCGGTGAGTAGCCGGGGAAGCTGAGCGGGCCTGCGCGGGGCGGGCGGGCGCCCTCGGACCCGGCTGTCCGCTGCAGGTTCAGCTGTCGGGGTCCGGGCAGGGGGTCGTCGAGCGCCGGGGAGCGCGCGCGGCCCGCGGGGCCCGGGGAGAGGCGCGCTGCGGGGTCGCGGAGTGGGCGGGGCGCGGCAGGAGCGGGTTCCCGGAGCTGGGGACGCGGAGGGGACTCGGGAGCGGGGCCGGGCCGCCCGCGCTGCGACCCCCCCATCCCTCTCTCTTTCTCTGATCGGGCTATGGTGGGCTCGGCGCCTCTATAGTGGGGGTCTGTGCACCCCGGTGCCGGGAACCTGCACAGCTATACCGCACTGGACAGCGGTACCCTACTTTCGTCGCCTCTTGGGTCTGTCCCCCCTTCCCTGCTCAGCAGTTATCCTGTGTCCCAGGGGTGTAGTCTCGGTCCCAGGGTGGGGCGCTCCCTGTGTGGATGCTGGAGATCTCGTGCGGGGCTTTTCATCCAGTTTTGCGTCGGGGTCCCCTGGGTTCCGTTTGGACTCGGCTTGAAACTAACAGGGTCTGGATGCCTGCGGAGGGTCACGGAGGCAGTAGCTTTCCTCGAAGGGTCTTTCTTGACTCTGCTTGAAAGCTGAAACTGTTGAAGTCGCTTCTTAAAGAAACAAAAACAAAAACAAAACGAAGATTGGAGGAGAATCGTAGATTCAGATGAGTTTTCCCGTGTTCTTGCTGACGTAAAAAAAAAAAAAAAGATGCTAATTCCCGAATCGGCCTTTCGAATTTCTGTGCTCAACCGAAGTCGCGGTTGTAGGAGTTCAGTCTGGACGTTTCACGAGTTGACTGCAAAGGGCAGGAGAATGGTATTCTTTTCTACCCCAAATTTGTTTACTTTCATACTTGGAACTGTCATTTCTTGAGCTTAGAAAAATATTCCTCAGTTTCTCATCAGAGGTTCTTTGTGTAGTCCAGCTGTTGTTGCAACGCGTCGGAGGTTCCTACAGCTGGGCAGAGGTGTGTTTGTTGATTTAAATGTATGAAGCGTTTAGCTCGAATAAACTTAGAATTTGCTAGAGAAGAAAATCTTGTAACTACTGTTAGTAAATGGAGTTTAGGTTATAAACTACACGTGAAAGGTTTGTCGCAAATAATGGGTATATTTTCCACTTTCATTGAGTTTTAAATTATAACCAGAAAGTTCATTTGTTGCAGACGACCTGTGTCGTCACAGTGTCAAGTATACGTAAGTCATTTTCCATCAAACCAGTGATGTTATCTGCTCTTCTTATATTATGCTTATGTTAGGATCTATACTTTTTTTGGTCTGGTCTGTCTGTCTTTCTTGTCATTCTCTCTACCGCTGGAAAGGAAGGTGATATCAAGAATAAGGGGGATAGTTTGAAGTGACAAGTTCCATGAACTGACTTATGCAAAGGAAGAATTATTTCATTTAAAAAATTTCTCACCAGGCGGTGGTGCACACCTTTAATCCCAGTACTTGGGAGGCAGAAGCAGGTGAATCTCAGTGAGTTTGAGGCCAGCCTGTTCTACGGATTGAATTCCAGGACAGCCAGGACAGAGAAACCCTGTCTTGAAAAACCAAAATAAAAAAATGTCTCTGTGTAATGCCAGACATTCACATTGGGTGTCTTCTTCCTCCTCTTCCTCATTGTTTTTATTACTATTAATTATTTGAGACAGGGTGTCCTTGAGCCTGGAGCTTGGAGTTTTGGGCTCTACTGTGTGGCCAGCAAGTCCCAGGGATCCTCCTGTGTTTGCTCGTGTCCCCCTATCTCCTTCCAAGAGCTACAGACATGCTATACAGGACCTACAGGACCTGCTTTTATGTGGGTGCTGTGAATCCCAATTCAGGTTTTATGCTTGCTCAGCAAGCACTTTACCTGTGAGCCGTCTCCCCAGCCACCCAAATCAATGTTATTGATACTTAACACTAAAGGTGTGTGTGTTAAGTTTGTGGGGAAAATGTGAGTAAAGCTAAGATGTACAACTTTTAGGTTTGGATGGAAAATGTGGCCTCTTATATACCTACCTTGAAATACTCAATTGTTCAGCGCCTAAGATTGGGATGTTGAAATTAGAGTCTGAAAAATGAGTCAAGTTAGATTTGGTTATGGATTTGTACTCTGGATATAATTATTTTGAAGGGGAAAAAATATGGCAGTTATAAAAGCAAAAAAGAAATTGGTGAAAATCGTATACTTTCAGGCATTGTAAATTTTATTGCTTAAGTCAAGTCAAATGATATTGAGCATTTTCTCTGTGTCAGGCTCTTTTAGGGAACCATGTAGGGATAAATAAAGGCGAAGCCATTATAACTTAAGATTCATGTTTTGATAATTTTCCAAGGTGTGTTGAAATCATGAAGAATTGAATTGCACTGTCTAGGAATACTAAACCTCCTTTGAATTGGGACTCAATTTGGATGAAGATGTTGAGTGCTTCATGAAAAATACTGTGTCAGGCACTCTAAGTCACAAAGATTAAGGCTGGTTTTTAGAAATTTGAGTCTAGTAGGGATGTAAGATATTTGTACAAGGTTCATAGTATAAATACATAATTGGCTGGATGTGATGGTGTGCATGCAGAGGCAAAGGAAACAGGGACAAGAGGATGGTGAACTGCTAGCAAGAGAACCCTGTTCACAGCAAAGGAAGAGCCTCTGAAAACAAAGAAGAAATGTATGTAAATACTTAACCACGTGAGTGGGTTTATCTAAAGTTTGGGGTTGCACAAAAGGAAAATGTTTGTTTTAGTTTAAGTCGTCATGAAAAACTGTAGAGACATGGTAACACTTAAGGGTGGGTCATTGCTATTATTTATTGGGCACTTAATTTTATTATTATTGTCACAACAACATAGAAGCTTCTTTCTGTTTAGACAGGGTTTTACTGTGTAGGCATCTCTCAGAATAGTCTAGATACTGAGTCTCAAATGTTTGGTGACCTCCCCTGGAGTTATGTGGCTAGTGTAACAACAGATTGATCTTGTGGGGAAGTTGGTACTTCCAATAAACGTGTATTCTTTTTATTTATTTCATGTAATTTTTGAGACAGAGTCTCCTGCGTCTTAAGTAGGCCTAAGGTTCCTTTGCAGTTAAGTATGCCTTGGTCTTCTGATCTGTAGTCTCCACTTCTCTGCTTGGGATTATAGGCATGTTCCATTGTACCCTGCTCTTTAACTATTTTAAATTAGTTTGTGACTGGTTAAGAGAACGACAGTTTTAGAGATGAGAAGGCTCATGATGTAGGGAAAAAGTTAGTGTACCAGACGACCTGGATGGTTTATTTTGGAATTAGAAGTGAAGTTTGGATTTAAGTTAAGGCTGGATTGTGGCGCATGTTTAGATGCTGTATTTAGAAGTTCAGCATTTGGAAGAAAACAAGAAGTATGTACCTTGTGATAGTTTAGTGTGCAGAATGATTTATTATTGCAAACTATTAATGCAGTGCTGTGCATTCTGGGAGTGATGATAGTAGGATAAGGGCCAAGGGCCAGCAGGGCCTACCTAGCACCCATCAGTAGGGAGGTAGGGCCTGATAGGAAAGGTTTAGTGGAGTCAGAAACCGAAAGCTACACCTTCTAACTGGATCTTGTTGATGGTGGTTACTAGGGATGTGAGCAATGAGTTGCATCATTAGGTTCCATTGTTCTAAGATGGGTAAAGCCTCACATTCATACTCCTGCCTAGCTCTCCATAGAAGCTGTGGTTGCCAGGGTGTGCTTCCAGGCCTGGCATGCCAGGTTTGAACATACTTACCTGCTGGGACTGCATGAAGGCTTTTGGAAATGGAGGTACAAGAGAGAGGTTAGAGCTAGACATACACAAAACAAATAGAGAGAAAACACAAATAGATTATCCAGACAGATCTATGTGTTGAATCTGTATAAGGAGGTTAAAGTGCCAAGGGAGTGTGTAGAGAGAAAATAAAACCAAGGCAACAGCAGCAAAACCAACCCTGTGTTTAAATGGCATCTGTTTAAAACAGAAAAACACTGAGTATATTTTATGCAGTGGGTAAGGAATTAGATAATCTGTAGTTTCCTTGAGCTATAAATTCAGATGGAGTAGAAAAAAAATCTGTCATTAAAATCCAGTTGAGGGGTATCTCGATGATTCAGCAGGGAAAGGTGCTTGCTGACAAGTCTGATGCCCCGAGTTCTGTTCCTGGCACCCACAGGGTAGAAGGAAAGAAAAACTTTGAAGTTGTTCTTTGATTTTCACTTGCAGGCCATGGGCCATGGTACCCCTCTCTTCCTATCACAGACCTCCCCACACACACACACTAAATCTAATTTTAAAAAGTTCAAAAATCCTGTGACCTGTGGTGGTGCCCTTTAATCTCAGCACTCGAAGGATGGAGGCAGGCAGATCTTTGTAAATTGCAGGCACTTTGTAAAGTCCCTGTCTCAAAAACAACAGTAACAGAAACCCAAAAAACAAAAATAAAACATCCACTTGAGGCAGGCTGCGGGTATAGTTTAGGCTGGACTGTGGGTTAGACAAGCTCTATGCCTGTCTCTAACTCTAGCACTTGAAGGAGTTGTGGGCCCAGAAGGTCAAGGTCTCCTCAGCTACACTGGGAGTTGAAGTCTGCCCAGGCTACCTGAGACCTGGTCTCTAAAACAAATACCCCTGCCCACACCCCAAACAAACAAATAACAACAAAATCAAGAAGTAGCAGAATATTGTGTTAGGATTGTTCTGTTTCCAGGGAGGTCAGGCGCTCAGACTCACTGGCTCA